GGAAGAAGGATGGATGAAGCATTGGGAATAATGGGAGTTTTCTTGCTGGAGCCTATAATCCCGTCATTGTCTACCAGAGGACAAAAGACAAGAGGGGTATCACAACCTCCCCTTGCTTTGCCAAGCCAACAGGACTACTAGGACACCCAAAATCCATACTGTCCCAACTAGGTCACTGAATGTACAGGGAACCTAGCTGCATTTGCCGTTTTCATTGTCGTATTAGAACTTATTTAAGAGGAGGTTCTGAAGAGAATCACAGCCTCTGGTTCAGAAACAGGCATTGTGACGGCTCGGGAACCGTATTTAAGGTCCACAGGGGCTGAACCACAACAGGCTGCCTCCAGTGGGCAGTTGGGCTGTGTGTATTTGGCATGTTACGCCATTAACCATGTCATGTTTTAGGGGCAGTCATCTGATGCACAAGCAACCATAATGAAGTAAGCAGCATTGCAGAGATGTAGCTCAGAGTAAAAGATGGGTGTCCCAATATTTTGCCACATCTATGTGTAGTTGTCTGGTGTGGCTTTTCCCTCTGTCTGCCTCAGATCCTCATATCTCCCCTCCCACTGGAGGCAGATGGCAGCATGTGAAGCGTGTCAGCGCTGTGGTCTAATGTATTCTACCCTCAATTAAAATGTTGGGGGATTTCAGATTTAACTACAAGACAGTCAAGTAGGCGGCCATTTCCTGATCTTTGTCTTGGCTTGTTTGAGATCAGGAACAAGACAGCAGGGATGAGACCTGTACTGTTTGTTCAAAGCTAAGGTGGATTCGCAACATAATGGCTGTTTAAGGAACCTAAGTAAGGCGTCAGACTTGAATATTTATTACTAAATCTGATCTAGCATATAACTGTTTTTTCTGTCCTTCCTTGATGGACTCTTTGCCTTGCAAATGCTGCACATTTAAGTAGGCTAAAATAAAAAATAAAAAGCATTCCAAACACTCAAGTCTGTCCTTGGTCTGCTGCTTCGTCAAGCTCACTGACGCTATGGTAATTTTTAGAAACTGAGATGAAAGAATCAACGCATATCTTGGATGACTATTTCAGTCGTCCATTAAACCAACATTTTTTGATACGATATCAGGTGCATTTGAGATGCTGCTCTGTATTTGAGGAGTGCACAGCTACAGAGTGACGTTTTTCTGTCGACCCCCTCAGACACCAGTCTGTCTAGGTCTCAGAGATCGTCTCTTGTCTGCTTAGAGTGACTCAGGAAGGTATTAGTACCCCTCATCCCTCTTCTCTATCTCACACCCAGCCTGCCCTGCAGGGCTGAACATTAGTCAACTCACAACAAAGAGGAAACAGACGGATAAACTCTGACTGACACACTACTATAGTCTGTTTGAACTGTATTTGTTGAGACAATATGCTCGAGTCTTACACTGTCAGGATGGTTTACTGTTGCTTGGCGAGATCAAATGTCTCCTGTGTGCTGAAGTAAATCAGTAGAGACTGTGTGCAGGGGACTCCGACCTGAGGTTAGAACGACAATGGGCAAACCCCTAGATCTCAGCAGGCCTCTATCACGCTCTCAGTGTGACCTCTGAACACTGGAAGCATTTGTCACACACAAGCACAAGTCACAACACAACACGCTTAAATCTACCGATACACACACATAAACCTGATCACCCTTATCCATCACGAACCAGTTTTTCCACCATAACTAGACCAGGATGATGTGTGGAAAACAATGACACAATTAAAGCCGAATAGATGGGGCCACTTGGGAATTTCATGTTCGCCAGCTTAGAGCAGCAGGCCATTACAAAAGCCCTGTTTCCTCGCCTTAGGTGGTGTCACTGGCCACATTCATATGAAGAGCATGAAATTAGAGTCAGTGTAAATAATTAAAGTTTATTTAGTCGACCAACATTTACAGAGAAAAGTCACAAAGTTCTTTACAAGAGTGTTGTGTAGTGGAAATGTTGTCCAAGTTGGGTTTAACGTTTCATCAACATTGCTTACAATATTTTTTAAAAATATAACAAGCGTATTATTATTGAAGGCACAAAGCACGCTCCAACTGAGTAACTAAAGCAAATTTTAGGCAACTAGCAATCATTAACATTGGCGTTATCGCTTCCTGACCAGAAAACAAAGCTCAAGCTCAGGAAAACAGTTCAAACACCTCTCGTAATCTCATGACCGAATTCCATATTTAAAATACTTGCTCTGTGGTCGTGTACGAAGGCTAATGCCCACGGTAAGGTGAATGGCCGCTGTAGTGAAATTTGGAACGTGAGCTGGTGTGCTTGCTGGGCGAGAGGGACAGAGTTAACTGTAATCTATCTCACGACAAGAGCTATTCATAAGAGGGTTAAACTGATTAGGGAGACAGGAGGATTGAAGAGAGAAATTTGGGGGGGTGGGAGGGCTGAGCTGTCAGAGGCAGGGGGCCGGTCCCAGACTTATGATTGTATCAAATCAAAACACATCCACAATGCACCTCTGCCCGACTCTCTTATGCACATACGGATGGACAAAGAAAAGCAGTGCTGATTCTTCTCCAAACAGAATAATCTGTCTTCCTCCATAGTTACCCTGCTATTGTATCACATGTAATTCACTATACACCATTTTACTATGTCAGTAAGTAGCAGTGGGAACCCCCAGTGCAAAAATAACATGTTGATACATCAGTTCCTTTGGACAATAAAAGGCTTGTCCCGGAGCTTCAGTTGGCACTAAACTAAAAAAGACATTGCACGCAAAGAAAGTAATCTTAAATATAACTTAAAATGAACAAGAATTATGTGTGTAAAAGGTATGGGGTGTAAACTGTCCTCAGCTCAGTTGCATTGCAGTTTCACTTGCTGAAAAAGCCTCATCAATCTTGACTTGAAAAAAAAAAAAGGATATCAGAAACCTTGAGACACGGCCAACTCCTGGCCAGTGGCACGGCTCTGAAAGCTGAGTTATTCCTAACCTGCCACCCACTGGGCGAGAACCTGACTCTCGCCAATGAGAAGAGGGTGGTGCGTTTTAGAGGCACACAGCAGCGGTGAGCAGTTTTCATTTCTTACCCTTGGCTGCTCTGCTGCTCGACCTGTTGAAAACAAGGGCTTATTTTAAGGTGGACTGGAGCTGTCATGTGATAGCTGCCGGAGGAAAAACTGTGAGCAGGAGGAAGAGGGGGTGAAGGACACGAGAAAGGAGCAGCAGCTATTGTTTCAGCCATTCTTGCTGTCCACTGTAGAGTCTAATGATGTTGTGTCTTGAGGATGACTTGTGGATATGTGCTAATGTAGAACTAGGGGTAGTGATAGATGTGTCTGCTGGGGAGTTACGGAGCACAGAGGTCAGAAAGGTCAGCCTCTCATTGGTTGTCAGTGGTTTATAGATGCACACAATTCGAGTAACCTCTCCGTAACCTCTGGCTCAATTCCTCATGGATTGAAAACCAAAGTGGGTTTTTACTGATATGGTTGGTAATTTTTCAACATTTTTGCACTGTATCTGTGCATCAGAGGCCATCAGAGAGAAAAGGAACCTTTTTTGTTAACATGCTTTGGGCAGAGCACCTGCTAAGTGCCATTTGAGATTTGATTTGAGCCCAAAGATGCAACATTCAAATTTAAATAATGCAACATTTGTCACACAGCGTCAGCCTTTTGTCTGTCCACAGAGTGAAAGGAAAACAGCCCTTTCTTTTTCGTTTATTCCTCTCGCTCGTCCTTTTCTGCCTCAGCGATACAAGGCTGTTATCTGAACATGTTTTTCCTACATTTGTGATTTTTCAAATCTCTGACAGTAGAAACCGACCCCTCTGGTGTTTGGCTCCTCAAGGTTTTTACAGGAACTGAATTCAAATCTAAACTTATAGCCCCGGCTTTTCTTCGTCTCATCACTATGGTAACCTGAGTGAATGAAGGGGGGGGGGGGGGGGGGGGCTGCCGTCTCTTTGTAGTGATGGACAAGAGGGAGGCTACGGGAAAGGGTTAACTGTTCGAGAGCAAAACCAGAATTCCCCTGTGGAGACCCAGGGGGCAGGGCGCTCACCAAATTTTGAAAATCAACATGTATACACCCACGTGCTTCTGAACCCACGAGATCAGGGCAGTGGTCATGGTCAGTCAGAGGTCTGCATTTTAGTCATGTTACAGAAATAACAAGAGGTGCAGTGATCTTTAAGTATCCCAAATTTTGCCACATGAGGATTAGGTGTAGCCTATGTTAAAGAGGGTTTGTGTGATTTTGCACGTGAAAGTGTTTTTCCTCTTAGCCTGCAGTGGGCTGTTAATTCCATGTCCAATTGGGAAAAGGTTGCATAGGAAATGGGAAGCTCAGGGAGGATCCCTCATAGAGAGATAAAAAGGAAAATGCCTAAAGTTATCCCCACACCTGTTATCATCTGCCTGCACATTTCCCCTCTCCTAGCCTTGCCCAGTTGTTTGAAAGATGCTAACTGAAATGAGAGGCATTCATTTTATGGTGCCTCTAAGTGAGCACCGCCCATCAAACGCTAGTCTGTGTTTTAGGAGGTCAGTCAAACATTAAACCTAACTATTAAGCACAGCAACAGCCCCTGCCAAGAATGCAGGGTTAATTGTTAGCCATTGTTGCCTGTCTTTACTCTCAGTGTGTGTTTTCACCCTGTCAAGGCCATGTAAAGAGTTAAATGAATTTCATACCTTCCCAGACACTGCTGTCTGGAGGGAAAGCAGTATGAATGGTGAAGATATTGTGTTTCTTGTGATATTGTTGCTTCAGGGTTGCAGGACATTCAAGAATTCTCTGCTCTTATACAGTAGGTCTACTGGGGGAGAACCTAAAGAGCAAATGAAGAAGAGACTGCATTTTTTTCCAACTTTGTAGTTCAATACTTCTCATAAAGGATGGTATGAGACAGACATTGCTTATATCATCTAAGCAACTAACGTTAATTAGCTGCAAACGTGTGTGACGTAATGCCGGAAACTTCTCCACATTCCCTGTTTACTTTTAAACTCCTTTGGCCATGGCCTGGGATGAGCGACGTGTGTGTTTCCCCCTGTCGTTTAAGCCCTGAGATTGAAGGGGGAAAAAAGAGTTCATTGAGAGACAGAATAAAAGGAAGGGGGGCGGGTGGGGAAGGGTAACTTCAGTACCCTGAAAACCAGGCTGTAGTCACCAGGCAACCAACAGATCAAGTTTCAAAGCCTGACAAGGAGTTGTAAGAAGTACAGAGAGGAGGAGAGGGAGCGCGGAGTATGTGTGTGTGTGTGTGTGTGTGTGCATGGATCCATCTGTGTCTTTGAGGGTGTTCAGAGCGTGTGTCTGCCATGCTACACATTATTTATTTCTGACTCGTGTCCCTCATTGATGAAAAAAAAACAGGTGACTCATTTCACTGCACATCTGTTGTAGAAATTCCTTTTAAGCGTAAAACTACCAAAATGAAAAGAATGAGAATATTTTTTTTATTTAACAAAGCTGCCTTCAAGTACAGCTCTCTATTCTGCCACCACTCAAACCCTAAATGAGAGGACACCATCTTTATCTGTAATCTTGCATGTCATTATAGTCATCACTTGAGTGATTTATGTGTATGCACTCCAGCTTAGGGCCACTGACTTCTTTCTCATTCCCTGTGCTGTATATTTTGTCTGCCACCTCCTCTTTTTCATAAATGTTTATTATACGGTTGGTTATTTTCTACAAACATCAGAGCTACAGTTGTGTGGATTTGTCTGCTAGCATGAAGTCTGTGACTTTGACTGTGGCCTTTGTGACACTGGATGCCTGTGTCCTCTGCATGGTAAGCCCTCTTCCTGCATGTGCTGACTCTGCCTGTCTGGCTGTGTGTGTGTGTGTGTGTGTGTGTATATGTGTGTGTGCTGACTCTCTCTCTCTCTGTGTCTCTCACCCTTTCCTCTTTGCCCTCACCCTTCCATCCACAGGCCGTGTGTCTCTGACCCGGGGTGCCTCTCTGCTGGTGGAACGGCTGACCCTGGAGGACGAGGGCTGGTTCGAATGTCGCATCCTGCTCCTTGACAGCAAAAAAGATGACTTTCGAAACGGCACATGGACCTTCCTCTCCATCACAGGTGCAACACTGCGGGGTTTGGGGGACTCGGGAGCGGCTCCTTTCGTTGCTCATCACTGGCACTGTACTTGTTTAGAACAGCCACAGCATGAAGCCTGGCTGGGACTCTGAAGGCCCTGGCAAGCTGAATTTTCCGTATAGCAGCATATCAGGGCGTTCTGTGTAACGTTCTGTGCCTGCTGTGAGCTGATGTCAACGTAGGAGTTGGTTTAAAGAATAACAGAAGCAGGACAGTGTATATGTATGGTTTGTGTGGGCTAAAGATTAAGGTTAAATGCTTAAATCTGAGTCTTTTTTAACCCACCTACTTCCCACTTGCTGTCACACACACATACCAGTTATGCCACAGTTAGGAGTTCCATCTACCTAAGAATATGTGTAGTAATCCCAAAACCAAACTTGACACAAAGCCTTGTACATAGACAATAATGACATATTTTATCCAGTTCAATGAGCACATAAATATTTTGGCATGGATGGTCACATGGGGGGGAAAAAAACAAGAATTTGGCAGTGTTCATGGTTCATGTCTATGTTATTCCCTCAACAACACAGGCAAGAAAACTGGATTGGGGTGACCTAGAGATAGTACATCTAAGCCACAGCAAATCACACCAACAGTTTTAGTCTGGTTGTTGTTGTGGATTAACTATCTCTTAAGCACTGAAAAATTGGCCACATTAAAGTTGCTCTGGTTGACTGTTGACTTCCGCATTTAGTGCTCAAAGTTGCTAGTGCTCTGATCGTCTTCTGTTTCCCATTATAATATGTGAATAAAGATAAATATTTCATCTGTGCTGACTTTGTTCTAGCTCCACCTGTGTTTATCAAGACCCCACCAACTTTTGTGGAGGTTCTGCTCGGAGACTCACTGACTCTCAGCTGTGGAGCCCATGGCAATCCTCGGCCAACTGTTGTTTGGCATAAAGATGAGAGCCAAATTGAGAAACATGAAAAAATAAAAGTGAGTTGGATTAACAGATGGCATTTGCAGTATTTTAATTAAATAGTTTACAATTAGCATTTTCTGTAGGAGTTGTAGCTTTGATGTTCCTTTGAAGCAAACTGCTTTGTTGTCCTCTCCATGACAGCCTAATATCTTCCTACGACTTTTCTCTTTGATCCTCTCACTCTTTACATTTACCCCCTTTTAGGTGCTCAATGGTACCTTGTCTTTGGCCTCCGTCACAAGAAATATTTCAGGAGTGTACAAATGTCACGTGTCCAACTCAGAGGGGAACCTGACCCACTATACACAGCTGCAGGTCAAAGGTCAGTGTTGTCTGACCTGATGATTGAACTGTCAGTCATCAAAGAAAGACAGAGTCTCTGCTTATCTCATGTTTAAGCACATGCTGTGATGTGCAGGTAACAATGCACAGCTTTAATATCACATGTTTTCAGATATATGAAATTGTCTTCTCATCCCTGTCCTGCTTAAAGCCCTGTCCTGATCTTGCCATGCAACTGAAAACCCAGTGAACAGTTACATAGTCTATACTGCCACCTATAGTCCATTCCCTGCCATTGCAATGATTTGAGATTTACCGCCAGTCAACATTGATCTTTCCATTAATCCTGATCAGACAGGCAGATTGTTTACATCAGAATGGCTAATGTTTTTGTTTCCACTTCCCAAAAGGTCCTCCAATCATCATAATCTCCCCAGAAGACACCACCCTCAACATGTCCCAGGATGCAGTTCTGCAGTGTCAGGCCGATGCCTACCCTTCTAACCTCACGTATGAGTGGGTGAAACAAGGACAGAATGTTTACCATATTGAGTGAGTACAGGTCTTTAAAGTATCCATGAACCCAAGATTAGGGATGGAGATAATGTTTATTGATATTGATACCCTTATTGAGACTGCTTAATGATCCGATTCTTTATCGATACCACTATCGATACTTTACTATTATTTAGTGATGGTTATTTGGTAAGACCAGACCTAACAGGCATGAGGTAGGCCTGCACGGTATGAGGAAAATATTCGATGTGCCATAATGTTATATATTGAGATGACATATCACTTGCGATAAATAAACATATATTGAAGTGTACATATTAACTGCCTGGTTGTTTTTAATTTAAATATTTTAAATACAGCTAAATGTTGTTTCTAGACAACAGCAAAGTAACTCAATAACTTTATCTGACATCACAAGTAGTTGAGAAAGAACAACATCAGTCTGTATCAGTCCCTCTTCCTCTCTCGCTGGCTGCAGGTAACCTTACCAGGTAGAAGGAGGAGCGTCTGGTGTTTCTCAGCCAGCATCAGAGTTTTTAAGACTACAGACCAGTCTCTGCTCCAGACAGACTATTTAGCTTGTTTTTAACATTTGGCTAGTGCCAAGCTAGCGTTAGCTGTGCTTGTATAAAACATAGAGGATGAGATACTGAGGACAGAGATGATTTAATTAACCATTTCTACATGTTTAACGTTACCTTACAGACAGGTGCATTGATAAAGTATTGTCTTTTTACTTGCGAAGGTTTTATTGCACGTACTTACAGTAACGAGCGTAGCTGTCATCCACTAACGTTACAGTAGTTTGGAGCTAACTTAACCCTCACTGTAACGTTATTCCACCGCGACAGTGCAGCCTCTCGCCCTGCTGCTGCCACTGTGTGTGTGTGTGTGTGTGTGTGTGTGTAGGAGCAGACAGAGAGCAGGCAGAGACTGCAGCCTGATGATTTTCTTATCCATTGCGTTTCAAATTAAATCACATTTGACGCTCGAGACATAACGTTACATCATAATCTCGATAGCAGTATTGATAAGCTAAGATTTGAGAAATTTTGGAACCGGGTCCTTTTGGAACCGGGTCTCGATCCCCATCCCTTCCCAAGATACATGATGTATTTCCTTGTTAAATGTAAAACATAGTCAATATGGCCTCCTGATTTCCAGACATTATCAATTGCAATAGATTTACTTTAGTAGATTACTGGGAGAAAAAGTAAGCCTTTATATACACAATGGATCAATTAGGCATTTTTCCAAAGCATGCTGCTAATACAATCAATTCTAATTAGATTATGTATAAGACTATGGTATCATGTAGTCATGAGCACCCTATAAACCCTGAACAAAGGAGATTACTTAAATAAACTTCTCAAGCAACCAGTTTTTATTGTCATTACAGTAATATAGTAGTTGAATGTCATTTTGATCACTTCTTAAATTGCACCATGTTTTGTATCCTTTGGCTTTAGGTCTCTAAAGTCCAGAGTGAAGGTTTTGGTGGACGGAACACTTCTTATCCCTAATCTTATCCCGGAAGATGCTGGTAACTACACCTGTATCCCAACAAATGGGATACTGAGCCCTCCCTCAGCCTCTGCACATCTGAAAGTGAAACGTAAGGTTTTGGCCTGCTGTGACAGGCAGCATCTCTGTGGTTCAGTACAGCCATTTCTTTGTTATAACTCTAACTGTTGTCAGGCTTGCCCTGGGCGAGAACCTCTTTAGTTACTTTTTGTAATCAGTTGCTCTTCCTCCATCTCAGACCCTGCACGTGTAGGCCGAATGTCCCGAGAAACATACTTGCCTGCGGGCATGGAGGGGGTCATTGTCTGCCCTGTCCAGGCTGATCCCCCTGTGCTATATGTCAACTGGACCAAAGATGGGAACCACTTGAATCTTGACAATGTAAGCTATGTAGCAGAAATACAATGTGTCACTCAGGGAAATTATCCCAAAGTGCACACACACTTCATACAGTATTTCAATGTGCCTAATTCTGTCCCCCTTGACCTGTCCAGTTCCCAGGTTGGATGGTGAACTCTGAGGGCTCCGTTTTTATTGCAAAAGCCAATGACAATGCTGTGGGCATGTACACATGTACAGCCTATAACAGTTATGGCACCATGGGCCAGTCTGAACCCACCAAGGTCATTTTGCAGGTAAGGCGTTCACTAGACTCTCGACTTCAGTTACAGAGAAACATTTTCCTATGAGTGTACACAGTTATACATGGGTAGAAGTAAAAAGACTCCCTCCGTCCTCCAGGACCCACCATCATTCCGAGTGCCTCCCCTGGCTGAGTATCTCCAGGAGGTGGGCAGACAGTTGATCATCCCTTGTGAAGCCAGCGGAGACCCCACTCCAAACATAACGTGGAGTAAGGTACAGGAGATTTTCCACTCTTGATAGATAGAGTCACTGCAAAGTATGTCTTTTAATACCTTATTTTAAGTTGTTGCTGTCCTTCCTCACAGATTGGCCCTACTCCTCGCTCCCAGTACACTGTGTTGGCTAACGGCTCCCTCCTGCTGCAGCCACTTAGTAAAGATCACCATGGGGGCTGGGAGTGCTTGGCTACTAATCGTGTTGCGACTGTCAGTGCAGGCACTGTGGTCATGGTGCTGGGTGAGTGGGCCGACCTTATTTCTGCAAACTACTATGTAGATATCTGACACTTAACCTGAATGTATTGACGTGTATTGTAGACAGTTCAAATTTATAGTGTTTTTATGCTCCCCAGGCACCAGTCCTCATGTTGTGTCCTCAGTATCTGTTGACACAGAGATGAACCAGGCCAATGTGTCATGGGTACCTGGATTTGATGGTGGATACACCCAGAAGTTCACTGTATGGTCAGTAACATATGATACATAAAACAACGCAGTTATCAAGTATCACCAAAAGGACTGACATGTTTTGGTCTTTATTGTGACTGTTTTGTTTTCTTTTTACCAGGGTCAAGCAAGCATCCAGAGGGAAACATGAATGGGCGTCTTTGCCTGTGCCGACATCTAAAAACTACCTGTTGGTGACTGGGCTACTTGCTGGCACTGGCTATCAGTTCAGTGTCCTTCCTCAGAATAAACTGGGCTCTGGACCTTTCAGTGAAATTGTTTCTGTGCGAACACAAGGTTTGTAAAAGTGAACTTATGTTTTGTTTTGGGTTTCCCTCACTCTCTCTATTTAACGTTAACACTCTCTAAGTTATATTGGGTCTTCTTATCAGCTGTGCCAACAGAGGCACCTATAGCCGTCACCACTCTCCCGATCCTGGATCCTCCCATACTCTTGTCAGTCAACCGGACTAAGCGAGGTGTTCTCCTCCATGGTCGCCCCCTGATGCGCCATCGTCTCCACTAACGGGCTATGTGCTGCAGGTCCGCATGGATCAGAGCCAGTGGGTCATCCTCAGCAGCAACATCAGTGCCAATCAGAGTGAACTACTTGTTCAAGGACTGCTGAGGGTAATAAGTTTATTTATTATTTAGCAACTGTACTTTTGAAAAGATCAACAAGTGCGGGCTATGTATTTCTTGTTTTCACAAACAGGTTGCATGTAGATTAAATAGCCATTGTGCCAAAAATTGTGTTATATCAACTGATGTCATGAATTAGAACAAAACATTTTTTATGAAGTAGCTCATCACAAACACTAATTTATATTTAATCAAACCCAATCTGTCTGTCTCTCAGGACTCCAGTTATGATCTGAGGCTGATGTCTCGCAGCAACAAAGTGCTCAGTGAACCGAGTGAGTCTATCAGTGTATCCACCACAGGTAAGTTGCTGTGTGTAGATTACCATGAGCATTACATGATATTGTGTCAAGTTCCGGCATGTGTTTATTTCTAGATATTTACAAAATTAGCATTGGGTTTTAGTAAAAGAATTTGCATCTGATTACAGGGATGGAGATTTACCCCTTGCGCCCAAGTTTCCTGGAGGTCATTCCTCAGCCCCTGTTGGCTGGTGTGTTAGGAGGAGTGTGCTTCCTGTTTGTGGCCATCATCCTCTCGCTGGTGACAGCATGCTATATGAGTCACAGGAGACGCCGTCGGCGCGTAAAGAGAAGACAGGGTAAAACATCGGATTTAAAGACACAGTTGCTTTCTCTAAAAATGTAGTTGTTAAACTCTGTTGGTTGGGGGGAAAGTGCAAGTGTTGATTTCCAAATTTTGTGAAAAACTCTCGCTAGAGACAAGTTTGGACAACTTCAACTCTGCTGTTTTTTGACATTTAAAATTCACTTTTCTTAGATCTCCCATCTGCCCTTCAGAAGAACTCATCTCCAGAGTAAGTGTCCTGACCACCTGGATATTTGTAATCAAACATTTCTGTTCCTTCATTTACATTTTGCTTTTAATATTCCAAACTAATGTATTTCTTGCCTACTTTTCATCTCTATTTTTGTTAAACTTGAATGTTTTTAATTAGTGTATCATTATTATAGCCATGGGTAGACTGAATTAAAAGCAACCTTTCTTCATACTGTGCTACCAGCTGTCTAACTTCATAACTTTAGTAAATTATATATTTACATTATGTAGTGACGACATTTTGACCACATACCAACAAACAAAATCAAACATGTCGCTGCAATCTCTGACAAATTGCACCTTTTTGTGTCAGAATCTGCAGTACTGTAAGGATGTTAAAAGCTTTTCTTACTTTTTTTTTGTCTCTTTCTCAGAGCTCGCTCACCTCCTCGCAGCCCAGACAGTGTCCTAAAGCTGAAGCTGTGTCCACCGATTCCCTTCTTCCCCAACTCCTCCTCCTCACAGTCCGATCGGTCCTCCTTTGATAAAGGCAGCCGTGGAGAATACCATGACCAGCGGAAACAACTCCTGTCCAACTCGTCTCCACCACCACATTACACACTCTTTGAAAGTCATCTGGGTTCTCAGGCCACCTCCCCATCTGCTCTGGAGTCCATCTCCAGAGGCCCAGATGGACGCTTCATTGTCCAACCACTGCCTGAGGGTTCCAGTCCCTCCAATAGGAAGATCTTGAAGAAGGACGTCCTGCAAAGTAATGGTGGGGCAAGTGGCTCAGGGAGCAACAGGACGTCATTAAGGGACTCCCCAAAGTCAAGCATTTTGAGCTCAGAGAAGGACGAGAGGAAGAATTCTCCTCTCACTGTTGACGTCCCAGAGCTGAGCAGACCTCCTTCCTCCCCTGGAAGAGTTCGGGCCATGGCCAGAAACTTCTCCCGTCACGGCTGCTTTTACTCTGATGATGAACAAGGCTCAGAGGCCCTATTGGAAAGAGCCAGCTTCTATTCAGACAACAGTGAGAAAAAACCCAGTGATTGTCTTAGGAGATATCGCATGCCGGGCCACACTGAAGATCTTTTTCCGAGTTTGGGGAGGAGAACTAAGCTTCTGGATAGAGATAGAGCACAGCAAATAGGCTACCAGCCTATTGAGAGTCAATTGACTAATAACAGCACCCTTGTCTCACAACTTGACAGTGAGCTGGAGAGGGATAGCATTAATAAGTGTGTCCAGTTGGCAAAGGAGAGAGAAGAAATGGAGAAGGAGCTGGAGAGCTACAGAACCGATCAAAAAAGTCAAGGTCGTGGGAGAGATGAACGTCAGTCTAATAAGACAGAAAGCCCTTCAAGGGGCACACCCAAGACAGTGGAAGAGCCTGTATGGAAACCACAAGATGTTGCCATCAGACAGAAACACAGGCCCTCAGGTCAGACAAGTCGGGTATCTGAGTATCGGAGGGCATGCTACTTTGGGAATACTAGCAGTCCCATGAACTGCCTCCCTACGTCTCGCATACAGTGGGACATTAGCCCTGTTACATCGATCACCAGCCTCATTCCTGTACGGACCCCCCGGGAGACCACTTCGCCCATGTCACAGCATCCTCGCACATGTAGGGAAACCACAGATGACTCTCTTGCTGTGGATTCATCGCGCTCTCCGGTTACCCAGAACACCTCCCTCCCCACGCTCTCCCCTGATGTCACCTCAGAAGATCTACCAACACCAGATAGAGCCAGGTCATTGAGTCCTCAGAGACAGCCAGATATGTGCAGGAAGGCCATGACTGAGCAGGGGTTAGGGGAAAAGACACAAGAAGGAGATGTTGCTTCAAGGTCCAGACATTCATTTGCTTATGCAGGCACTCAACTGTGGGATTCGGCTGCCAGAAGTTCTTTGGTTGATAGTGAGAGGCTTGAAAGTTCAGCCTCTGCACCATATAATCAGCCTGAGATAACTGAAGAAGTAGACTACACGCCACAAGGGATCCCAGTCCATCAAGTTATTCTACCTTACCCTACGAACATCATGAAGCAAGGGCAAAGGCCAAAGAAAAAGAGACTCAGGCCAGGGATGACCGGCGGGGTTCAGGGTTTTACTCTGAGTTGGAGAGAGAGGGTGTGCGAACACGCTCCAGGAGGAGTGACAAATGTCTCTTCCCTGATAGTCCAAGCCCTATTTCAACACTGACTCTTGTAGAAGAGGTTGACAGTGACCAGTCCCAATTTTCTGTCCCCGGAATGTCAGGGTCCTTCAAGGCCAAGCCTGCAGCTGCATCTCCAAAAATGTCCCCACAGACAAGTGCGATTCTTGAATACCTGAGCCTACCGGGTTTCATTGAAATGAGCGTGGATGAACCTTCGGAAGACGCTAAACTCACAGACACTGCTGGACAAAGTTCAGAACTAAATCCAGAAAAATCCCCAGGGCATAAGCCTGATGTAGTTCCTAGAAACTGGGAGGTTCACGTTCAGGAAAACCGGAAAACACACTCAAACCAAAAGGAGGTTTGGTTTGAGCAAACTCATTCTGAGGGGGCTGCAGAGACCAGCTCTGATGGTAGTAAAAAACAACATAAACGCTCCCTCAAGGTGGAAGGTAGAGATTCTGCACTTAGAGTAAGATTTCCAGATGAGATAAGACCATCATCACCTGTTCCAGAAAAAACTAGCAGGCAGCTCTATGATGAGAAAACACAAATTCGAGTAGGGAACAGAAGCACAGACAGACCTGAATCCAGACTTGGATCCAGGTCAGCTCATACGTTGTTCAGTGCAGCTAAAGGCATGGCAGATATAGTATCAAAACACTCACAGAGATTTGTAGACAGTAGTGAGTCTTTATCAGAGCAATCCCAAAGACAAGCTTCTCAGGGCAGCAGGACTAATAACATTGCATCACGAATATGTCAAGCCCCTGTGCCATTTCTAAAGAAATCCTTAAGCATGGGCCCGTGTAGGACACTCTCAGGTATGGGGCAGCCTGGTCCTTTCCTAAAGAAATCCATCAGTTTAGGCTCACAGAGGTGGGAGCACTTTGAAAGCCCAAGGACATATATTTCTGAAAGATGCTACTGGGATGAGTTCCCAAACCCAGATGTCAGGGTGAAGTCCTATAGTTTGGGTCACAGTCCATCTTCCCTTCCAAGACCAGGCCCCTCCTGGAGGGAATATGTTCCATTCAGACGACCCAGCATGGGGAGCTTAGAGAGGCCTCACCCCACACAAAGATCTTTAGCTAGTCCTTCCTACCTCACTCCTTCGATGTACCCACCCAGACAAACCTCAGTCTCCCCGATGCTGGAACCCTCCGATCCACGACGACAAGCCGCTGTTTTCCCCGAGTCCTCCAGGTGGTCTCCCTCTTATCAAGATAACTTGAGGTCTGCCCAGCATAAATATGTCCCCATGCCCTCCTCCATCCCCGTCCCCCAGTACCAACCCTGGCAAGGATCCAGAGGGGAAAGCATGAGACCCATGGACCCCAGGAGGGGCCCTCCGAGGTCCTACTTGCCCAGGGGCATCAGCTGGCCCTCACCTTACTACGTCTCCTACCCACCAAGGGAGGGAGAGAGTTACAGGCAGCCAGACAGGATGATGGGGAGGGCAGGGGAGACGGAGATCCGGGAGGGCAGAGAGATAAGGGAGGCAGGGCGGGCCAGTTATGCCAGTCAGAGCAGCGGTAGAGGTAGCGCCGGTCTCTTCCGACAGTCCCTGTCCATCACTCCCACACTGCTCAGCTCCCCCGAAACCACAGAGGAAAGCGAGCGGCACAGAGCTGAGATGGAGCTGCCTGAGAGGAGAGCGAAAAGGTGAAACCATACCTGGACAATAAGAACAAACACACTGGAGTGTATTCTGGACAGAGGGATTTATTTATGTTGCCAAAATAACTTCAATTTTGTTTTTGTTTCTTGTTTGTGATTTCTGTTACCTGACCACTTGTTTTGTGTATCTCAATAGAAGGAACACATCAGTAGATGAGAGTTATGAGTGGGACTCTGCTGATGCGTGTGTGGACTCGGAGGTCCTGGAGGCCATGAGGTTTGATCATTCACAAACAGGTTTTCGGAGAGGCGGGGGGGAGCCCAGATATGATCAAGCTGGTGGCCTCCAGGACCGGCGACAGAAAGGTAATATAATTTTCTTTCACATTCTCATTGTGTGTGTGTGTGTGTGTGATGTTTTTGATGGTGCATGTGTCATTGTGAGTGTAATGCTTGATCTGATGACGCCGCATGTGTTCCTCCTGTGCCCTTTGTGCTGTGATTATTGTGTGCTTGTCCCATGACGTGCCCATCCATGCATTTCCTCTCCCTGATGCCCTCCCCAGGCCCATCTCCCTCAGTCAGCCCACCAGTTTCCAACCCACCTCGCTGCCAGTACAGCCACTCGCTAAGCGAGGCGCGTTCAACGCTCTCCGCCAGGAGTACCACGAGTACAGGCGGGCTCAGGAATCCATCTGTTCCCGTGAGCCCTGCCTCACCTCTGGCCACGATTCAGACTCTGACTCCAACTCAGCACTGCTCTAGCAGTTTAACTCGGTCCGTTATTCTTCCTGCCCTCGCACCTCTTTCCTGTTTTTTCCACCTCTCACTGCTCGCCTGCCAGCTTCCTTTTCTTGCCTGCAACTATCATCCATGTGCAGTGAATTTGTGCACGCTATGTGGTGCTCAATTTACAGTTAAAATGTCTGAACCTAGTCCTTTTAAGAACTCTTCTCTAACGCTGTACTGCTCTTTGCTTGTCTTTCACAGGTATATCTAAGACAGATCCCAAATAGCAGAACAGATGACAGCACTGTGGTCCTCGACAATGTCGCACCTCACTAGAGTTTCGTCATGTCAAGGAACTCCTTGTTTAAAGTTTTTATCCTCTGTAACAGCAGACTAAAATTAAGCAATTTAAAGAGTCCTAAATGCTGTATGCCATCAAATGTGACAGACCGCAACTCCTCAGTTGTTATCAGATGACATGTTCTTTTTCTTGTTCTTTTTCCGTTGTGCTTTGCATAATGAAGCTGAGAAGGGATTATTTATTTTTTTCAAGAAGCTCGTGCAACTGTATTTTGGGATTTTTTAAAGACCTTGACAATCAGGCACACAAGGCCCCTTTGAGAAATGAATTGTTCACTCTTGACTAAAACTGGTTTACAGTTGAAAGTTGAAAAAGACCTGCTTTATAAAAGTAGCAGCATGCTACATAATGAAGGTTGTATTTCAAGTTGATGTCTGTCACATCAAAGACTTCCCTTTGATAACTAAGGGATACTAATGAAAGTTATGTTGTTCTGTGTCCCAGATTACATTTATTTTTGGAAATGTCTGTATCTGTAATGTTGCCTTTGTTGCCAATCAAACAGTGCATGAAGCATTTTCACCACCATCTCCCTCTGAACATGACAAAATACGTAAATAATAGTACTTAAAGATCACATGATTAATCAACTCTGATTTCTGTACCTTGGTACAACATCTCGGTGCAGTTCACAGTATCTAACTTTGTTACTCCAAACAAGAATGTCCTGTATTTAAAAGAAGAATTTGTTTGGTATTTGCCACTGTGATATTCTCGCTGGTTCCCTGAACTCATTTCCTGTTTTATACGTATGATCTGTCACAATAACATTCCCCTCTTGAGACTTTATACATCAAATCACTTCAAATAGCCTCCCAGTATTTGTTCAAAATGTACAAATGTTCATATGTACCTTAATGTGAATGAACCCTGCTGTTGTATTGTATGTTCCACATCATCATTTCATCAGATGAGAAAATGCTACTTTACTCCACCTGAATCGGTCAAATTTTGCCTCTGTGATTAGATGACAGATACAGTAAAACTTAATAAGAAACACAGGGAAAATTACTTTTGCCTTACTTTTTTTTTTTTTTTTACCATAGAAGGTTTGAGCTGACAAGCTTTAATCAAACAAAACTGATCAGAGGATTAAAAATTATTGAAAAGCTGTACTTTTTTTCTGCTCACATGAGTATTTCTGTATATTTATTAAGGTGAGTTATGATATGCAACAATGTTTACAATTCACATCATTGATGTGAAGGCAACACTGTGAATATTTCTTCGACTTCTCATTCTGTATTTGAATTGAAAGTCTTATGAATTTCCTGCCCATTAGTCTACTTTTTTTTTCTTTTTGTTTTGTTACTGAAAAATGACAAAGGATTTTTTTTTTATATATCACCTGACCAACAGATTTAAAGAATATCTTTGTAGTATACTTTGGGAAGATCCAAGATTTGTACTATATTTACTTAAATAACCCAGATGAAAGTCTTCATATGGAGTGAGTATGCATTTCTGATGGTGGTTTTGGAAGTTTTGTACAAACTGGAAATTTTTATATCTTGCAACCTGGTTGTATTTGTCTTTTTTATATGTTTGTATTGAATAAATTGTTTTATTCTGAATGTGCCAGGATGAGAGAATGTGTTGATTTAATTGCTCTTTAATTTAATTAAATCAGCTATTTAAAAGTGAGGGCCACACCTCAACCACACCTGTAATCACCTGTCATGCCTACTTAAATCTAGTTAAGCCATCCTCTTCACACCTCTGGCATGGCTCTCTTCTCCCTATCCTTAAATCTCTTCCTGTATTTTGACATACTGTAAGTAATCTCTCTGGAGACGGCTCAGTTGTCTTACCAGCAGGTGCAACAACATTGCCAGTATTTGTCCACACTATTACTGTTTCTTTCAAGGATTTTGGGGAGAGATTTAACATGTTATACATGGAGTGTTAGTAATTGATGTTAAGAGAATAATAAGGGGGGACAGTATGTCTACAGTACACACAGGGTGTAGATCCTCATGAGACCAGAGAAGCATTTATTGTTTTGTTCATCATATGTTTGTCGATTATGTGGTGCAGTGTGTCTGTTTTAGTGTTTTTCATGATCCCAAAGTTGTAATAGCTGCAAAAACTGACAAAAA